GGCTTCATACAATATTTGAGAAAATACCTATTGCAAAATGTTCAATATGAACTTGTATTATTCAAATCACTAAACAATTTGCCAAACTAAAATAGAAACGTTAGGCCTAATGAAAACCGACAACAAAGTGAACACTATTAAATTAATTTGATATTCCCATTGTACGGTTCAACACCTGACATACACGTGGTTGCGTTATTACCTTGACAAGCGGCACCATTTAGCAGAGACACTAGGTCTATAATTTGATTTCTCGTAGGCAGCTCGGGTTTCGCTTCCCCGAACACTCTGAGACGAGCAATCCCTCCATCCGGATAAATATTCACACGAATATGAGTCCAAGCGTCGTCACTCAGTACCTAAAACAAAATAAAAATACCAAAAGTGTAGTTCCATGTTTTAATTCCTCAGACTTTATTCCTGGATTTTTAAATTTCACTCTAGTGTGCCATCATTTAGCGCTAGAGGCGAGAATGTGGCGAATTTATTTTTAAACTTTCTATTTGAAATTATGGGTTTTGTTTTGAGATTATTTCTTTCGTTTATAAGTTTAACAATTTATACACGTATCATTACATCATATTACGTGATAGATGTAAAGGATCATAGGTCCCCCAAATTTGGGAATAATAAGTTATAAAAAAATCTAATCAGAGCAGTGTAAAACAGACTTTTTTAAAAGAGTAACGAGTGGAATTTCTTGCTCGTTCTTCTCCACTCGAATCGACATTTTGGAACGAGCGCCTAGCTTCACTGACGGACAGACTGACAGACTATTATTTATTTCATTTTTGTTGACGTTTCAAAAGTACCAAATTATGGTTTAATTGAAAAAAATGCTTTTGGGTTTGAGTTTGAGAGTTTGAAATCAATAGATTATATCCAACACTAATATAAAACTGGAGCTGCTTTTCCTTTAAAAAATCTGTCGCGGTTTATTTCATAGTGATGTTTTTTAAATGCCCTATTCCATTTGGTTCCTCAAAATGCTGCCGTGTGATGAGTTTTCAACGTCCAATCGGATTTATTTTAAAAGTTTTTGCACTACAGACAGAAGTTCCATCCGTCTTATTTTCAGAAACCCAATTTAGACGAAGTGCGATTTCGTAAAAGTTGCAATTTGGAAGCGATGCAATATTTATGGGAGGATTTTTATAAATTGGTTTTTGGTTTAGTCGATTCATATTTGTAGCTGTTTTTATTGCATTGATACAATCTTGAGCTAAAGTCTTGAGAACAAAGTCGTGTGTTGAAAAAGTCATCTCATTTTTCTTTTGAATTTAGGTACATTATAGCATTTCTTTATATATAAAAAAAATATATATATTATATTTCGAATGACCTACCTTCTGGAAATTAAGTCTGGTCTCCTCATACCCTGGCCGCAGGGCTGTTATGGGCACTAATTCATCCCATTTGTCAGACTTAAGTCGTTCGATATGTTTCAAGTCGAATTTGTTGCACGCCGTACCCATTTCAGAGATCCTCTTTGGTATCGATTCTTCTTCTGTAAAAGAAAATTTTCTTTTGTTAAAATGTTGATATTTTGCAGCTATTTTTTAGTCTAATTGTAAAGAAGGGAACCTATCACCTGTCTACAAATACAATATTTGAGAATTTTATATTCGTAATAGAAACAGTTAATACTTTGAGTGACCACAGGAATCGACAACTCGTATTCGTTAGTCACACTTTTAAACCACTAGTCTATTATGAACAGGAAAGCTAATAATCGTAACAAATATTTTCCCTTGATAGTTTTTCAACAACATAATAGGTATCAGAACACCGATAAAAGCGAGTCTTTGGTAATTCTACTTATTAGCTCTCGAGGGCATGATAGCGTCCTTCTAAACATTATATGTCCGTAAATGAGCGTAAACTTTTAAAAACTCCACGTCTCTTGGGTTTGGTAAGAATATAATACCGGATTTCTGGACTTGTGAGCATAAAACTGTAGCTTAATATGTTTTTGCAAAAATAAAAACGTGTAGTAATTAAAAACTATAGCGCTTTGAAATGTTTTTTCCATAGAATAAGCCTGTGTAAATATTTGCTTTAAAAAGACGTTGTAAAACCCCTTAAAGATTAGTCTCATAATACAGGCTACAACAATAAACTAATGAACAAACTTATAATCAACTTAAACAAAGTAATGGACATTTTTATAAACTATATGAAAAAATCAAGTTGTATTTTTATAATAGCTATCATAAGACATAGTGAATTAACTAAAATGTATGCGTTACTAACGCAAATATACATAAAAAAGCTCTACTAGTTTTGGATGTCGGGTAGACTGCGTGACGTCGCCACGACTGCGCACGCTACTCATGAGAAAGAACCCCTCTGTGCCTCGAAACTAGTAGAGCTTTTCTCATTATATTTACGTGAATAACTCGTAATTTTTAGTTAAGTACAACTTACAAATGTCTCATTTTTTACAAAAATGACATGTTGCGCAAATACAAACATTTGGAAATTAAAACACATAACATCACGCCTTTTATCCCGAAGGGGTAGGCAGAGGTGCACATTATGCCACTGTACAATGTAACACCCACTTTTCACTATTTATGTTACGAGTCTCATGTAATAGGTGGTGAGTCTATTGCCATATACCGGGCACAATTCCAGACTCCGTGCTACTACTGAGAATTTTTTAAAAACCCAGTAATACTTTGCCCGACCCGGGAATCGAACCCGAGACCCCTTGCTCGGCAGTCGCACTTGCGACCACTCGGCCAACGAGACAGTCATGGAAAATAAAACTACTCATACAACACATCTTTTTGGAACAATTCACACAGTTGAAGAAGTCCCCGGTTCACTATGATTGATTAGCTACGGAGTCGTACTTCCAAGATCTTTCTTTGGCAAAAATAACTAGTGTCCGGTAAATAGCATTGGAGAATTGCCAGGACACGCCTCATTGAGCTAGAACTAAGTGCTTTGAGAGTACTAGGTAGATATAAGTACTACTGTAGAGTAACTTAGGACTTCGGTAAGTGTACTTGGATAGATAGGTACAATATTTTTGTGGGTCAGACTTAAGTTGAGTGTTGTTGGTGGAAATGTAGAAAATTCTTTTGTACTATGGAATAGAAATATTGTATATATGCATATTATTCAGCATTTTGAGTGTTGGTTTTGTTTTGATTTGTTCAACCTAACCCCTAACAAAAAAGTGTAAGCATATTATAGTTTACTTACAATTGGTTGATTGATAAAAACTGTACAGTGAAACTAATATTAAACCGGATAATTGCGGTTTCCTTTATGAAATGAAAGAATTTCTGTTTTATTAATAAAATGATTCCTGGGATAAAACATGCATTTAATCGGGACAAAAACTATATACTAGTGTGATGAATACTGTTCTCAAAAAATTCTAGACGATTCCAAAACTTTTAGTAGGTAATGTAATGTAAAATAATAATAAAATGTATCGTATAAACTTACCTTCAGGGGTTAAGCAGGCAGCCTGTATGGAGTATTTCGGCGCATAGTTCCCAGTAAAAAATGCTGTGTCAATTAGTAACCCTGGAACAATGCATAAAGAATAAACATTAATCACTGAGTGTCTCATATATATGAATCATATACAATAACAATCTTACGTGAACCGAATTTTTATCAATGAAAAATGTAAATAGGTTATTAACTATTGCATAACAAATAATCTAAATGAATAACAAACAACTTTTTAAATGATAATGACAATTTTGGTGCTTATACCGACCTCTATTGATTATTTTTTGTTGCCTTGTGAAAGAAGGTCGGTGATAGTTTTGTTTATTGTACCCCTAGTTTGTTTGTATTGTGTGGAAAATAGGTAAAACTTCCATATAAGGAGTCTTAGATCGATATAAAGCCGTGTTAGTTAAAATTTTTATAACGCAAGAACCGCTAAAGCGATTTAGATGAAAATAAGCGGGAGGGGGGGGGGGAATTAGCTGAGTACCAGAAGACGGACATAAAATACTTTTTATTCAATACTTTTTTTTTACTTTTTACCGAAAAGCGGGTAAGTACGGGACTTGTATGTGGGCGCGTACGAAGCCACGGGCAGAAGCTAGTTTTTTATAATATTATCTAAATATTGTATACTGTATTAAGTAAAAACGCGGGTTACTCACGTGAATATACTGAGAAAAGCTCTACTAGTTTCGAACCACAGAGGGGTTCTTCCTCATTAGCAGCGTGCGCGGTCGCGGCGACGTCGCGCAGCTCACTGTGAGCTCACTGTGAGCTGCGCGACGTCGCCGCGACCGATTCACGCGATTCACGTGAGTAACCCGCGTTTTTACTTAATTTAGTATGTCTCACGATAGTTATTATAAAAACATTGTATACTGTGTTAACACTCATATCTGATAAAACAGAGAGAGTGAGAGAGAGATAGAGAGAACGAGAAAGAGAGTGAGGAACGAGGAGACATTAATTACAATGTCTAGCAGACTTATATCTTATCACTCAGCACAATATTATTTATTATTTATTTATTTATCATTTTATGTACCTACACCACACAGACAATATTACACAGGACAACACATTATAAACATGAGGTACATAGGTACTGCATATCCCTTAAGGGATTTCTTCCTGCAGACCTGCGGATCAGATATTAATTAGTAACATAACGCATTAAATTTTGCATTCGATCTTTCAAAAATATTCTTTGATTTAATTTGTTCGCAATTTATTCTGACAATGATATCTAATAATATAAACTTTCGAAGATTCGGTATAAAAATAGTATTTTGTCAGTTGAGCAATAAAGAGAAGTAATATATAAAAATACGTAGTAGAGTAAAATAATAAAATAATGCTGCATTATTTTATTATCTTATCCCCTATTATATGGAATTCATAACATAAATAGTAAAAAGTGGGAGTTACATTGTACAGTGGCATTAAGTGCCATAATTTGCACCTCCGCCTACCCCTTTGAGAATAAAAGGCGTGATGCTATGTGATGCTGCGTTATTTTGCAATATAACTTACCACGAACAACACACTTCGTAGCCAGCTTTAAGATGCACCAGTCATGGCCAGCAATCCTCTTCCTCCGGGTCTCCCACCCGTCCATCCACTTGCCGTACTCCGTGTACTTATCTTCTATGAATATTGGATCACTATCTGCTATCATATTCTCGCATGTTGCGAAGAAATCGTCTGTTGCGAACACCACTTCTCCGCCTGACTGTTGGAAGAAGATTTTCGTTAGAGACAAAGGAATATAGGTCTTATGATTAGGGGTTTTAAAATAGAGAATTCTTTGGATTTATAATAACTATCGTGAGACATACTAAATTACCTAAAATCGCGGTTCGAAACTAGTAGAGCTTTTCTCAGTATATTCACGTGAGTAACCCGCGATTTTAGTTAATTCCGTGGATGTCACGAATATTCGTCTTGTTAATTTTTTGGAGACGTAAAAGTATTTTCGCATTACCAATAGTCTTTTAACGTAAAATAAATACCATGCCGCTAATTTTTCACGTCCAGTTGGTTACTTAAATAGAAAAATTTGGAAATAATAACATATTTTTTTGCAAATGAAACAATTAGGCATCGGACATCACTTTAGGTACTTAGAAAAGGATCTTTTAAGTCTTTACGTGTAAAGAATTTATTAAAATTAAAAAAAAAATTACAAATAAAAAAACAACCGAAAAGAAAGCCCTATAACTTACCCCTAGGCTTGCGAATTCGCTTAACTCAGCAAACGCCGGAACTTTAGTCTCGATCATCTTCACGTCTTTATCACTTAAGCTAACGAGTTACTCGCTTCAAACTCAGACACACAATGATAAAGATTTGTCATTAACTCCTCTATATATAGCGTTTAAGTATAAATAAACAATCCATAGCTATACATAATAATATACCACTATTACACTAAATATATCCAGTTTTTTCCCATTATTACGGTCTCAAGTCAATTGCTAATGGCTGAAAAAATTTACTAATGTATTATGCTTAAATTGGTTTTGTAACTAAAATAGATTATTGTTCGATTTGGTTCAGATTTAGATTTAGATTGTAATAGTGATTTAGCATTTTGTTGAGAAATTAACGGTATTCTAAACAATATAAATGAAGAAGCTATAAAGGACGTTTCTCGAACCTGTGTTAGTTTCTGAAGATGTTTTGATTTGAAATGGAATTGAAAAAAAAAATCATGTTTAGAAACTTTCAAGTATGTAGTAAGCTTTGCATACACTGTTTTTAAGGAATAAGAATTTGACAGACATTCTGAACTGACCTAAGAAGGATTTAAATTCATAATAACATATTCTGTAGACCACACTACTATGACCAAGTCAAGTAAGTGTGTCATTAGTTTCAATCTATGTATTATAATTATATTGTTTGCTACAATACTTGTATCTTAAACTAACAAACTCTTTCTACATTATTTCTTTTACAAAACCAGTTTTAGCCTATTTCTCTAGAAGGTTTGGTGCGGTGGCTGGACAACCGGCTGCCTCGCAAAGTGTAGCAGGTTTGATGCCCGCACGGAGCAACTCTTCGTGTCATCCACCAATTGTTGTTTCGTGTTTGGGTATCATGTGTATGTGAACTTGTATATTTGTAAACTAACCTACGATACAGAAGAATATCGTAGTATGGGGCAACGTTTTTAAAGAATAAAAAAAAAGATATGCATGGAAAAAAACTACTATGAGAACAGACCACAGAGGACCAGATAACAGCAACAGTCTCCATTATAATCGAAAGGAAATGTTGGGAACTCTCTCAGTCTAATAACTGTTTGTTATCAGAAGAGTGCAAATAACAGCACGATGCTACATTGCATTGGGGTACTGCATATCTACGGCACGTGCATGACATCCCGGTACTTGAGATATTGTTTATAAATGCACACGTGATTTTCACTGGCATTCATGGGTAAAATTCAATTGTATATTAGAACTTTATTCGTTTTGGTTGGGTAAAGTATAATAAGGTGGATATGTAGTTTCGACGTGTACTCGGTGTATGATATAAAACTTCATATACCAAATGTGTGCGTACTGCAAGACTGGAAATAATTTTCAAAAAGTGTCTATTTTACTCAATTTTTGACGCTGCTTTCAAGCGTGGTCTTTATCAGTATCAGAGCAATGTAAAACAGACTTTGTTTTAACTCGTCGAGTACCGTCAATATAGACACAATTATAAAACAATAGGTTGCGGTCACCGGTGACCGCTTGGTGTTTGACAGTTTAAAAGAGTAACGAATGTAATTTCTTGCTCGTTCTTCTCCACTCGAATCGACATTTCGGAACGAGCGCCTAGCTTCACTGACGGACAGACTGACAGACTATTATATATTTCATATTTGTTGACGTTTCAAAAGTACCAAATTATGGTTTTATTGAAATAAATGCTTTTGAGTTTGAGTTTATCTTGTAACATTATAAGTGTTTTACATTTCTCAATTAAAAAGTATCATAGACTTTATGATCACCCATTTGTTAATTATGTCATTAGTTAGTTATAAAACGTTAGCTAATAAGAATAGTCTTAAAAAATATTTAAATAATCACCCATTAGTAGAATAAAAATATAATTCAGAATAAATTGTCACCGAATTATCACAAGAGTGTTTAGTCAACTACAATAAATCACACGCATGACTAAACACAATCACAAAACAGTTATTTTATTCTATGAATAAGTCTAGATTCTACAATAATCTAAATCGGCTGGAAAATTCGACCTTTTTTATCCTTTAAAAAGGTTGAAAATAAAAACCTTAATACAATAAACCAGAAATAAACTTTTGTCGCACAAACCGCAAAGAGGTTGAAATAAAAAATAAACAAAGGTTTGATTAGCGCAATAAAAAGTGTCTAAAAATTGCTTAGAAATTGATAGTTCTAAAAAATAAGTTGCATTGTTGCGTTGAAGTGGTCAGTGACGTAGTAAATTCTAGAATGTTGGTAGGTTGCAGCTTGAGAAGATGTATTAATTATTATCTTGTACCTTTCTGGACTTCAATAGATGTGGAAAACAGGATATCTAATGAGAAGATACGTAGCGAAATTAGGATCACAACTGTATTAATGTTGTTCAATATTTTCTATGTACATATATTTACTAATTTTGTAATTTTTTGTGTTAATTTTGTTTTATAGATTTTGTCCAAAACAAATAAAAGGATTACTTAACCTATCTAAAATATTTTTTTTATATATAGGTAACATTTTCTATGAATAGTGCTGTGGCTAAGTTAATGAACAATTAAATCCTAATGATTTTAATTAGCGCTAATCGATGATGCGGCAATCTAATCTAAATTCGACCATAAATTAGTTAATTTGATATTGTTAAATAGCTTCGTCAGCAAATATTTCATTATAGTACTATACTACCTCTAGGTACAATATCCCAAATATTCGAATATAGATTATTTTTCCCATTATTTCATTCAAAAACAAAACAGAAGTTATAAGGGCTATAATTTTCACCGAGACACCATGGCCGCGCAACTAGTCGCCGCTACTGACAAAATGCATGGGCTGGTTACGCAACCAAGCGGTCGATAGGAGAGGAACTTTTTTATGGGATAAGCCGGTAAACGGATCACCGGATGGTAAGCAATCGGCGTCGCCAATGGATACCTGGAACATCAGATGCGTTACAAGTGCGTTACCAGCCTTTTTTAGATTAGGAATATGAGGATTGTTGGGGATTCAGGGCTGGGGAGATTGAGGAAGGGGGGTAATTGGGCCTCCGGTAACCCCACACACACGACAAAACACAACGAAGCGTTGTTTCACGTCGGTTTTCTGTGAGGCCGTGGTATCACTCCGGTCGAGCCGGCCCATTTATCCCGAAACATGGATCATCTTCACTCTATAGAGCTGTATCTATACTTTTTGTTGTTAGCGGCAACTGGATGCCATGGTGTCTCGGTGAAATAGCCCTAATATTGCCCCATCAAAATGTATCATAAAACGTGTTAATTTAGAATCTCTCACTTTTTCATCAGTTTTTATATTTTTAATTTTAACCTTAGTTATTTTTTTAATCTTCCCACTGACTTTCATTATTTATACTTCTAAAGCGTCTCTTAGATGTTTAATAACTGTCTTGTCCGTTTTATGGTAGACCGCTTAAATGTTTAGAATGCACAACTTTGATATGAGACTCTCATTAAAATTAGAAAAATTGAGTAATCGTCAAGCGATGAAGGAAATGTCTTGTTGTTATTATATTTATACTGTCAAATACCAAGCGGTCACCGGTGACCGCAACCTATTGTTCTATAATTGTGTCTACAAAACCGGTACTCGACGAGTTATATAATCTTTTAATTGCTAACTATAAGTTTGAAATCGCCAATTCGCAATGAGCAAACGTAATGATTATATTGCTCAAACCTGCTTCTTGTGAGAAGTGTGTAAAGTTATTCATTCGTTTACTAATTGTGGACAATTACACTAATTATAGCTAATGTAGTGACCACTGCGCCAAATCGAACAGTTCAGTTTAACTACGTATTTACAATTAATGAACTGCTACCAATTAATTAAAAATTACATATTTTTCCGGTTTTTCAAAACATATCGATTAATAACATCGTACAAAATAACACTCTAAGATTAACTATTTTAAGATAAGTGAAATATACCTACTGTATCTAAAAGTATATATTTTCTAAAAATAATTTATTTTACTTACCTACGCTTCAAACGGAGTGGAAGTCACCTAACATTGATCACTAAAATCACTCATTGGTAGACTGACTATCATTTATTTAGGTTAAAGGTTAGGTTCAGAACAGTTCTAAACCGGTTTCAGCCACGCGCGCCAAGTCACTAGGTCAACCAGACCGATAAGAACGGCAGACATTTAAGCAATAATTATTATGATGATAAAAATAATAATATAAATATTTAATTTGTTTTAATATTTATTATTTTGGTTAGTGGCGGTGGAATTATACCTAATTGTTCGTTTCCGTGATGTATGTACATGATGTGATATCGTGTATTTTAATTAATAGAGATATACGCACCTGTAGAAAATTGCGTACAAGAGGCGAATCTATTGACAAATACTGAGAACTAGAGGTAAGTACCTTTAACAATAAATTTCTAGGTAAAATAAAAATATCCAACAGTACTGTCCCAAATCTAGGTATCTAAGCCAAAAGTATAGCAGTCTCATTTGTGATTATAATAGTGTGTTTTCAGGAAAAACGGAAAAGGGGTAAAATCAAAAACAAAATAACTATAAAACATATAGAAGATTGACCACTCGCAGTAGTCTATCTACCTGTACCGTCAATAAAAGTGCAAATGCACTCAAATCAGACCCCACACAGCATCAAAGGTGACACCTTTTTAAAGCAAAATTCATCATTTTTAATGAGACTTATCACCTTAAATTATTGCAACATAATAAAATGTTGTTTAATTTTTTAATCGATGTCACACGTGTCGAGTTTAGAGTTCAATACGCATAATGCATAAGCGATATCATCAGACACGACACTCCCCTGTGAGTTTTAGTAGGTACGTATTTATCTGGAATAATCTAAATGGAACAACTATCTTTTCAGTACTATAGCACTCTGAAATGTGGCGAAGACAAGAAAGACTACGCATATGACAACAACTGGGTAGAAGGCTCTTTGTTTGATTCGAACCTTTTAACCTGTTTGCTAAACTCAAAGATTATCCCTGCGTGGGCTGAGCATCGTCGTGTCCTCAGGGATGTAGAATGCGACGGCTACCTCTCGCGTCCGGCCTGGTGCAGGTCATGGTACGGAGCGAAGGGGATTGGGATGCTGGCTTCTTCTGCGAAGCAGTCA